AAATTTTGGTGTAATTCGGCCAAAAGGTGGCACTATAATCGAAGCTCAAATACCCCATTCATTTCAATAGGATTTGTCCAAAGGACATTTTGCCCTATAACTATGCGCCACTACATCGCACATTCATAAACTTTATGTCTATGTGTTTGGGGGATGCTGCCGATTCCTATGGTGTAGGACAAGACTCTGTGCGATGACGTTTTCCTTTTCGCTTCTCCGAAGCCGCAAGTTCGATCGCCACGAAACTTGGCACGGACCATTTCTGGACCGAGCCTAAGAAAACAAAAAACGGCCGAATTATACGCCAACAAATTTTTCCGCAAACGCTAAAAACAGGATGTCATGTCAGACCTTACCTTTGCAATCTACACCTCGGACCTTATCTGGCACTCCATCCCGAGGGGCTGTGTGAAATTTGGCGTCAATCGGCCTCTATGTGGCGCTATTAATTGGAAATCAAATACCACTCCCATAGACATACATTCATTTCTGGTGTCCGGGACCGCAAGCCCCTTTCATTTATAACTCTGCTCATTTTGTCTCCACGTGCCCGCCATGGTTCTGGGGTTATTATGGGACAATTAATCATGGCGGGCCTGGGCCGACTCACGCGCCCTCCGCTGGGCCAGGGGGGGCGGCTTGCGCCGGGAGGCTTGGACCCCGCTTACAACTGCTTGCAGTTCTAGTTATTATTATTATTACTTACTTTATTTGACAGGGAGTGAATATTGATAACATTTCTGAAAATATACCAGAATTAGAATTAGACAATAGTTAAAAACACAAACGTTAAGAGTAAAAGCACTGAAAATACCATCAACAATAATAGCCGTGAAAATATGCAGAGTCTACACTACATTAAGACTAAAGACAAGACAAACAGCTATTGACACAGAAAATCAACAATAGCACAACAATAAGCAACAAATCAATGAGGTGAAGTTTGGATTTGTCCAATACTTTGGTTTATGTCTTAATACTTGCAAAACAAGTGACAGTCCCATCAGCTTCATCACCTCATGACAGGGTCCTGGGTTGGCATTGCCACTTGTTTGTTTTTTGTTTGTATCAGGCATACAGTATATTTGGTGTACGAAAAAATTATCTGCAACTGAGATGGTTACCTTGAAAGGGTGCATGGTGAGCAAAGGGTCATGGCTGTCTTAAAAGTTTATGTTGCCTGTTGGTTATAGATTATTTTGACAGAACTGTTTCAACATTTGTGGATTTTGCACCAGAAAGTCAAGAATATGAGCCCATTGGTGCAAAACAAGTTAGGCAATGGGTGTTGTTATTGTTCAGTATTATGTCTAAAGTGGTTGTCATTTGTGCCCATTCTTTCAGTGAACTGTTTCAGTGTTGGTAATAGGTGCAACATGCAAACAAGCAGCATAGCTAAAGACAATTTTCACCACATGGACCCAAAACATTTCAAAGTGAAGGTTATCCAACTGAGTGAAGTGAATGCAGGTTGCCTTTCCAACATAAAAAAAACAGCAGTAGGTGATTTCACTGATTAGTTCCTCCATTCTGGCTGAAGTTATGCTAATCACTGAAATTACCTGTAAGCATGCACTCTACACCAAGGAGCCAGCAGGAAGCCTCTTCTTAGATGTTTATTGTTGTAAAATATAATTTAATCATCACTCAGTGTTATTAGCAGGTAGAATAAAGCTGGGAAAAAACTGTACCATACTCGCGCATTCTCCCACTGTGCTACAGTCTGGCAGTGATGGTGTTAGCCTACATTTCAGTGAAGACTCTCTGGATCTCCCTGGAGAAGCCCTATGCTTTGTTTCAGCAGAAATCCTCATACTGTGCACCAAATTGTGAAGAAATTCCTTTGTCTTATGCGGTTTGGAAATCTAATCCATCCATCCTGTGTTATTTTTATAATTCACTGCAAACCCATCAGCTTGTAACACTACAAGTCAGTAAATTAGAAATCAGTTTAACATATAATCCATATGAAATGTTTGAACTGTGGGAACATGTGAAACGTGTAATTTTCTTATGAGATAAACTTTATCTTGTGTACAAACAAAGAATAACTTTACAAGAGTTGGTGTGCAGTCATACCTGAACTTCTACAACATATGAACCTGTAACTACAAACCAGTCAGACAAGCGAACCAGTCCATCACTGCTGAAGACCTTGACAGCTGAAATGTCTCAGTCGCTATTCTAACTTCCACACACTGTCCTGACGTACAGTATCTTCATAGAAAGATCTTCTCTCCTGTCCATCAATATGTGTCCTTTTCCGTACCAGTCACAACTCTTCCCTTTCCCGCCTTTTTCCCCCCATAGTCAATGAACCATTCAGGTAACCAGTAAACATGCAGACAACCAGTCATCTTAAAGTCAAACCCAACCAAACCTAAGCCCTCACTCAGCCAGTCGACTGGTTGAACGTATGATATTAAGGACCCTGACAGCGTTTCCACCAATTACAGAAAACCAGCTAGCCAGACAGCCAGTGAACCAGTCACACTGTTGAGTGTGTGCTCATGGAGCATGACAGTGTTTCCACACACCAATTACAGCGAGACAGTGGTACAGCTGTGTGGTGGCTTGGCACTCAGCCACACTATAAGTACCACTATCGATTGACGGGGAGTGCATGATTAAAGCGGGTGAGAGAGAGAAGCAGTCATGCCAAGTGAGGGAGGAGGATGCAGAAAAGTGGTAGATATACTGAATCTCCAAACTCTTTCTCTCTTTCTGTTGGTGCAATGACACATGCAGTCACATTAAAGAGTCAGTTTGTTTATTGCATGCACGTCTGGATTCACATGTGTGTGCGCGCTCCGAAAAACCAGAGCCACAGTACAGAGGAGACTGGGATGAAAAGTGACAGGCCTCCCTCATTCTCACTCTTTACTTTTCTCTGCTGTCTCTTCTGATCCTGCTAATTATCGCAGTTTGACAGAGCAGGAGAGGAAGAAATACAGAGGGCGAGGGTAAGAGACAGGCAGAGGGAAACAGAGAAGGAAATTGTTTTTGTTACAATGAAGTAAGATATAAAGAGCAAGAGAGAGAGACACAAAACAAAAACTTAGATAAAGAGAGTCTCTAAAGCAGCTTATCCAGCCCATTCGATTTTAATGGGGGTATAAAGTTATTAACTTAATGGAGCCTAGATGCTTTATTTTTCTCTAAAACGGATACCACAATGTTGCACAATCACCCACAATTCCCTAACCCACAGCAACAGACAAAGAAGTTGGCTTGGTTGTATTGCACTTTAGAATACATTAAACTTAATGTACTACTGAGTGTAACTATAGAGAACATCAACTGAATAACTGCATTCTTTTCAAAGCACTGTGTCACACACACACACACAGAAAATACATCACAAAAAGCACTGAATTTAACTACTGCATATTTACTTTTTTTCACGAATACTTGCACAGAGACTTGGACTTTTTAATCAACAGCTAGTGTCATAACTATAAGTAGAACAGTTAATAGTTCAATATTTGAGGGAAATTGTTTGCTTTCTTTCTGCAAGTAAAATGAGAATATCAGTATAAATCCCCATGGAGGAAATACTGTTAGCATCTTTAAGCGCCTTGTTTTCTTGTTTTGGTTTTATGGATTGTAACTTAAGTATTTTGGTTCAGGATCAAGGCTTTTCTCAGTATCGATTCATGCAGCAAAAAAGCATGAATAAACCCACTACATGCCATCTGCCCAGCACCAAAGAGCAGACAGAAGATGTTAGTGACTAGCTGATAAACATTTAGCAGCTAAAGAGCCAGATTTTTCCTCCAGGAGTAGGTGGACACAAAAAAGCAATGACAAGGAGAGTGAATATTGGGCTAACATTTGTTGGGTGGCTAGAGCCTCGACTCCAAATGAATGCTAATGTTGCTTCCTGGGTCAAACTGTCACGGATTAGGATTTTTGTTTTTGTATTTCCTTTTTTAGTTTCTTAATCACTTAATGTCTCTGTGTTTCTCATTCTCTGTAACAGACCATGTTTTTGTCTTGTCATTTATTAATTCATCCTGTGCTTCCTGTTTTACTTTGGTATCTTCCTTTCAATTCATTTTCTGGCCACTTCCCTTCCTGCTCTTATGTTTTCCCAATAGTTTGAGAATTTTCCCAGATTGTTTCCAGCTGTGCCTTGTTTGTCACCTCCCTCTTGTGTATTTAACTCTGTGTTTTTTCACTGTCCAATGTCAGCTCATCTGCGTTCTAGTGTCAAGTGTCTTTGCCTGCTTCCCTTGTCTGTATGTTAGTTTAGCAGTGGATTTTGGATTGCGATTCTCACCAGCCTTCCCAGCCTGGAGTTATTGCTTTTCCTTTGTCTGTAGACTTTTGGAGTTATTACCTCTGACTTGTTGGAGTGTTTTTGTTCTGGACCTCCATCTTGGTTTCTTTGGACATTGCCTGCCACCCACCGTAAAGTTGTACCTTTTGTGTTCTCATAATAAAACTAGAAAACTGAACTTGCTTTCCTCGGTGTTTCTGCTTCTGGGTCCAAATCCCTGTTTTATGACATGTATACACTGAATTTCAGAAGAGATCTTGGCAGCGCCTGACTCACTTCCTCCTGGCTAATCCAAAAATGGGCAAAGAGGTGGAGCTGAGGTGGACCGAATGAAGACTGGTTGCTGTGGTTAACCACCTGAGCGGCAATGCCCTTAATTATCAATCAATTATCCTGACTCCAGCTATATATTTAAAGCACAGATATGAGGTTAATTTACTGTCTCGTGTCAGACTGAAAAAAATAGTATTTTGAGTATTTTGAGTATTTTGTGAAATGTTACACAATTTTTAAAAACTAAAATAACAAATATGAAGACAAATGTCTGTTTAGAACTGCTAGATATAGTAGCACCCACTGAGTGACAGGTCACTCCTGTTAGTTACAAGGTCGTTTAAAGCCAAACGGCGAGATGTAACAGTGTGTATCACACATGCAGGTACTCAAGTTTGAAATTAGAGTGCATACCAGAAATGATTTATTCAGCTCAAGTACTTACAGCCAGGAGAATCTGCAGCGAGGAGTGAGCCACCTCTATGAACTGAAAATCCATCAGACAGCCAGATATAGATATATATCGGTGGTCCTCGGGTGCCCAGGAGGGTGGAGGGGTGATGGGTGTCACCCTGCACCCCGGGCCGTTCTCCATCCACCAGGAGCGATGCATGGACAGGTTGAACGTCAGGACAAGGTCAGAGTCCTGGCAAGAAAGAGTCAAAGAGAGACAGACAGACAGAGAGAGAGCTGAATTACATTCTCAAACATAAGGCAGATCAGGAACAAGGCGGCAGAAGGCTCGATGTCAGGGCAGGTTTTAACAAAGTTTTAATTAAAATCAAATAGTTTGTCATATCGAGGTCTAAGAGATAGATAGAGAGAGAGGAGAGAAGAGGGGTTTGGCTCTAGCTAAAGATAGATCTTAGATTTATTATTTGAATGATCTGGGATCACTCAGATTAGATCTGAATCATACGTACAGGCATGGTTATGAGAACGACAATAAAGATGGGAGAGAGAAGAATGATGAGAGGAGGCTAGAGAGAGAAAGCAAGAGAGAAGAAAAAGAGAGAGTTTGAGAGAGGTTTGATTTTGATAATGGTTTTTTTTCAGACACTAATAGCTCTTATATGATGATTTCAGTCTAAGAGAGACAGGAGAGGCGTGATGTCATGGGAGGGTCAGTAACTAAAATGTTACTGTTTTGGTTTTAGGCAAAGTTATGATTTGCTATCCTCATTTATTTCTCCTAAGCAGGCCAATTCCAAAACTATGGGTGTCATTAAAAATTGAGAGGCCCATTAATGTGAATGTGGCAACATTACAGAGGGAGTAATAGCCACCATAGCACTGTGGCTCCATAAATAGCAATGTCGGTCAATCCACTTTGGTCCAGACTGAAACATCTTGACAAATACTGGATGGATTGCCATGAAATTTTGCAAAGACATTCAAGGTCCCCAGATAATGAGTCCAAATGACATTGGTGATGCCCTGACTTTTGCTTTATCACCACATTTTTAGTGTTGTGTGAAATTGTGATGGATTGCCATGACAGATATCCATAGTGCCCAGCAGGTAAATTCTAACAATTTTGGTGATCCCCCAACTTGTCATGTTTTCAACTATCCCATGAAATATATGAATATGAATGATGGATTTGCACAAAACAATTAATATAATGAATAAATCCAAATGACTTCAATCCCCTGATTTTTCCTCTAGCGCACCATGATTGATTTGGTTGTATGTTTGTTTTTAGTGTTAAATAGCAACTGTTAGCATGCTGACTTGCCAAATAAAGATGGGGACATGGTAACGACTACCAGCTAAACAAGAGCATGTCAGTAGCATGTTAGTATGCCGACATTAACATTTAGCTCAAAGCACTCCTGTGTCTTAGTATGTCCTCAAAGAGCTGCTAGCATATTTGTAGACTCTTAGTCTTGCTGTTCTACAGATATGGAGACATTTTATTCTCTTTATTTGTTCAGCTTGTCCACCACATCAAACGCAGGCGCATCACAGACAGAGATAACTTCAAATTACCGCCAGAAGCTGCAAAGAACAATATAACCGACGCTGAGTAAATAAATAAGCATTTTCTGTCCCTCGTTGTTTCAGTTCTACTTCACAGCAGCAGAGAAAGACCACATAGCAGTGGCCCCTGCAGTTGCAATGTAGGGTATCTGCTTTGGCTCCTCTTCAATCTTTTTAATTCTACAAGCCTGAAAGACGCACAGTAAATCAGTTATGATAGTCGTCTTGGTTTAAATAATTCACATAATAACGGACCCACTTAGCAAGGAGGTACATATATCATTCCACAGACAGCCAAGCAAACCACACTGACACCCACAAACTTACACTTATCCGCACGCTCACAAATGCACAATTTACACACACGCACGTCTGCTCTTGCAGTGCTTTGCCACAAGTCCAATGAAAAGCCTTAATGCTCTTAAAAGCATGCTGAGAAAAAAAATGACTTTCACATCATTTGCTAATTTTCTCTATGGTGATACATCTTTTAACCAAGGTACCCCTCCCTCCCACCACCAAAAATAAAAATATGGTAGATTAACCATAAATCTAAAAATTCCAACCAATAAAAGCATAGCATAGTATTTGAATAATCTCCCCCATGAGGCAAAAACCCACTCAAAGTACATTTTCCCTGGGACTATCATGTTTAACAACCACAACATCGAGGAATGAAGGGATAAATAATCATAGAAACGGTAGGAAAGCTCACAAACTGTCAAGAGGAAATACTTTTTCACCAGCAGGATTTAATGTAATTTATTTTAGTGAAAAACACAAATGGCAGAACTTTAAATAGAAGATTCAGTTCTTACATAAACACCTGGGTCTGTTTCTACACTGTTTACTTTGTTTTTATCTTTACCTGCCCTAGGTATCCTCCCTCTGTACCCACACTTGACTATCACCTCCCTTCATATTGTTCCCTCTCTTACTTAATTTTTTCAAGTTCTCCTCTCTATTCATTTATACTGTGCTCTCTCTTTCCTCTTGGTCTCCCCCTCCCCCTTTCTCCCCTCTATTTCTTCCTTGGCCCCTCTCTATTTCAGCCTAATGAGTAAATGCCTCATTAGCACAGAGCTCTGATTAATGCCATCTCCCCTTGTTGTGCTCCTCTTTTTAATGAGTAAAATCTCTCTAAATTTCTCTCTCGCTCCCTCTCTGCCATCACTCTCCCCCCTCAGCCTATTACTGTCACTGCCTCTCTTTTGATATGTCTTTCCTTCCTTCACCTCTTCTCTTTCTTGCTCTTGTTTCTCTTGTCGTTCACTGCTCTCACTCTCTCTCTTTCTCACTGTTAAATGGGGTTGGGGGGGGGGTAATAATTATTTCAGTACAGTCTCTATCAGTGCTTTTCTAATGAGCCTCTCAAATAAACACACACACATAAACACAAAAGTAATTATCACTGAAATGCTGAATTTAGCAAAATGTCATCAAGGCCAAGCAGCAACTGCAAGTAATTCTGCAGTATTCTCTCACTTGAAAATGGACATAATGTGAAGAATGTGTACGCACTGGTTAAAGTTAGTTACTGCTAATCACTTATATATTTATATATATATATATATATGTGTGTGTGTGTGTGTGTGTGTGTGTGTGTGTGTATATATATATATATCATAGCAACAACTTCATTAAATTTAAAAAAGACTAACCAGCATTCATTCATTTATACAAAGCTTTGTTGGAACACAGAGAATACTTTTAAAAGAGCGTAAAACAGTAAAATGAGTCTTACCAGCACAACGTTTAGGTGAACTAAGCACAAGAAAATGTCAGTCTGATATTTTTGCTAAACATTATGCTGATATTGTTATAATCCGCTTCAAATCTTTTCATTTTGATTCAATATCTATTTAAAAGGAATCATTTGACATTTTTAGAAATACACTTATTCGCTTAGAGTTAAGATGACAAGAAAAATACCACACATTAGCATAAAGACTCGAATCAAGTGAAAATAGCTAGCCTGACTTCAAAGGTCTAAAGGTAACAAAAGAAGAGATATAAGTTAAGTTAACCATCTCCAGGTTGTAGCTTCATATTTAGCATTAACGTGGCAGAGATGGATCTCGTCAACCAGTTTTTGGCAAGAATAAGCAAACTTCCAAAAATGTCTTTGTCTAAGTATTGCTTTAAATTCCTTTGCACTTGGAGTGAAGTATTTGCAATGTCATGTCATGTTACCTATATGGTTTCAGTTAGCCACATCAATACGAAACAAACCACATCTAACAACAAAAGAGAGCTAGAAAGGCAAGGCACACTTTTTTGTTTTCCTTTTCTGTTCAGATGTGTCTGACAGTCCTGTGCCTGCGTTCACTGCAGTTAAAGGGTCTATAATATAGCTTGGAACAGGAATGGTACTAATAAAAAAAATGGTATTATCCTTTAAGCAGCAGTGAGCCGCCACAAGCCTCTACCCTCACAGATGGAACAAACTCTAACATTAAAAACACCTTCGAAATTAGGCATATGAGTTAGTTTTTGTTTTTGTAAAAACACATTAACCAAATATAAACTGTTTTAGTGTTCACAACCTGTGCAAATCATTTGGAGGCAAAACTCAAATTATTCAATACTCAGTGAAATCCAAAACAATTAAAGTGCAGCTGTGTATTGGCATTGATGTATTGACTTTATCTGGTGGAATTTATTTAGCATTGAGGCATTTAACCCACCAGGATGATGAGGCCATAGCTCCAAAATAACCTTGAGATATTAATCTGCGTGGTGATGAATGGGCTGTTTGGCTTCCAACCTCCAACAAAAAATACTTGTAATAATATTTTTGACTGTGTGTGAGTCCCTTGCTATAAGTGCTATTTCTGACTGTCTCCAGTCTCTCCACATCTTACATCCCCCCTCTCTCTCTCTCTTTCACACACACACAAACACACACACACACACACACACACACACACACACGTAATTTCCAATGTGCTAGTTGAGGATCATGCACTCATGCTCTCAGGTCTTTGTCTCTGACTGTGGGCTAGTGCCGCTTCAATGAACCACATCTGTTTTCCTCTGCCTTTCTCTTCACCTCTTCCTCTCTTTCTGTCTTCGCCTTGCTCACTCTTTCTCTCTCCCTCTCTCTCTCTCACTCACTCTCTCACAATTTCCCCTCAATTTTCCAATTCTCCTTTGTCTTTCACTCCCAAGTGATGGAGGGATGAAGGGGGAAAATACCAGGGAAAAAGGTATTTTCTCTGATGGTCTGAGGAGTAATGACCCTTTAATGTTAATATTACAAAATTTGTCAAGTCATTGGTTCTAAGTTAATAAAATAAATACAGACGTGGAGTAAAAATGTTCAAGGCAACTTAGAAGGACTGTGACTCTAAAAATTTCTAGGCTCCCAGATATATTCTGGATGAATGGGTGAATGGAAAGAGGGTATAAGGGAGGGAGTGCCAGTTTTTCCCCCATGAGTGCCTCAGCATCTACTCCCTGGACACAAACACACACACACACCATTTACAACACTTACTGACTCACACATAATCTCATACCTTTTAACATACAGTACAAGCTCTAGCAGTCAGGTAGTGAAGCAGACAGACAGTAAACACAACAGGACAACAACAGTCAGACAGAGCAGGCAGCCAGAAAGATCAGCAGATCATCACACTAAAGGGCAGAAAATCAGGGAGG